TTTACATCCTCTGACTGGACTGAACAACAAGTTATATCGTAATGCTCACTTAGCTAGGAATTCGTTCCAAAGTCTATGATTGAATTCATGGAAAAGAAGTCTTTGAACGTCCAATGATTGCTCAGTCAAATGTTTCTTTCTATGTTGCATTGTACTCTAACTAGATACAACGTCTGAACAAGCCTGGGCAGACGCTTTTCCAAACCGTGCTCCCCATTACCTGTCGCCAGCATATGATAGTGTGCGCGTGTATAAAGTTACCCTTAAAGGGGCAATTTGCACTTTTCCAGGTGGACTGCATGATTTTTATTGGAATACAAATCTATAAAATAATTCTGACTAACGACACTAATGAAATTACCACATGACGTCAGTCGTCATCGAAATTGCGACCGAATCGTTTAGTGGCCCTTTACCGTGCGGACTGTTGTTTCAAAAATGGATGACTGCTGACTCGAGGACAATGGTTTGTCATTTAGCGCAGAGGAAGCGGTGTCCGGCCAGTCGACAGCGAAGTTTATTATTCTAATGTCTGGCAGGCGGGGCCTCGGACAATTTCTGGCTGATCCGGGTTCTGAAGTCATATGCGATGACACACGTTATTTTTGACGCTAAGTGACATGAATGGAATAGCAATAGGTTCAACGGTTTCAGGACTCATAGCCAAGGAACTCCTAAGCTGTTAAAGCCGTTAATCTTCAGACACGACAGACCGAAGTCCTAGGGTACGTATGTGGAAGATACATTTGTCGATATCAGACATTTCCGTGTGTTAACGCTCAATGCACGTTTCAATAGCGACTCTAAATTCACCTTTTCACTGTGAAATTGGCCTAAAAAACCAGCCGGCCTTCCCCGACTTCCCACTCTGCGCCAAAGTTCGTGGCGGCGTAAAGGCCGAAGCGTTCAGCAAGGCGAAAGCGACCGAGGTTGTACCAAACTTCAATAGCAACCGCTTAACCAGCAATAAACCTAGTCACCTAACAGTGCTATATCGGCATGTTGAGGCGCATCACGGTAAACTGGATAATACGTTTGCCGAATTTTGAAATCATCCGTGTGTATCCGCAGAAAAGCACTTATCAATGCAATTTCGTCAATCGGTACGTACAGAGACGAGATCGCGCCGACAATTTGAAGGGTCAATATCACTGTTCAGGGTATGCAGCACTTTTTGATTTCAGTTCAGACTAATGATTTGACCCCATATGGGTTGAACATGAGCAGAGCAATGTGTGAGGAAGCCTGCCCATCATCGC